AAAATATTCCCAATTCCTTTCTAAGCCGCAAATTCGTTAACAGTAGGTCAATACGACCACCCCCTCCTCCACTCCCACCGGCTACAAATTTCTCGATGGGTGATTGCACATGGCCGTAATCTGATTAATTTAGAGGGGAGGCTTACATCCCGAACTTAATTTGCAAATTAATTCACAATTTAATTCACATCATGAATTAATATTTCTGTTCTAGCGAGTGAGCGCTCCCCTAATAATTTAATATGATCAAAGCAGAATGTATTTAGAAATTGCAGATTGGAATGGAAAAACACCCAAACCTGGACCTGCCTTACCCTACCCAGCGCTATCGTTACCTTTTTACATGATAATTATTTCATTAGAGAAATTATGTATATTTATGCTCTTCAGAACTCAAAACAAACGCCTAGGGTTTAGGGCGTCAAACTACTTCGAATGCAATCGGTCGGCGAATCAGTGGAGGAGTGTCCAGCAAGTGCCTACTGCTACAACATGACCGCTTCGGCCGCATTAGTAGTGGACGTTGTAAAAGCTGGCTGTTCCACATGGAGATGTATGGTGAGTTACGTTGTTTTTCTTTACTTTTTTGCTTTTTTCTAATATTTGCTTAAAAATGAAAAATGAAAACATGAAAATGAAAATTCTACTATCCTTTCTCCGCATATCAAACTTTTGTTTGGGTACTGTGAAACGCATAAGCTTTCTTGTGAAAACAGTAGTACACCCTTTCCTCAGTTCCACGCCCACCGTCATAGTGTCGACATCTATGTCCTCTCGCCGATCTGCATGCTCTCTCATCTCGGCATAGTTTTTTCCCTCCTTGGCAGTAACTATCTCTCATCTCGCTCTCTAACCCTCACTCTTCTCCACATTGTCGAACAATGGTGACTGTATTTTTGTGTGTTCAACGGGTTTTCTTCATTTTTTTCTCAATTGGTATTCAATTCGCACTTCTACCTTCACGATCAAGCGCTATTTCCCCTCCAACTTGGTGCTGGGTCTTGCCTTCAAGTAGTGTACTCTATTCGCTCTCGAGCGCAGTCCTCAGGATAAACTGGAGTGGTTCTTGCACATGAAAATTAGGATAGATGCGGAAATGGGTTGGCAAGGAAAAAAAGATAAGAATTCTGGGAAAGCACTTAGGGTAAGGGCTTGCTCACCTTGCTGGTAAGGCGGTGAGAAACTGGGCGAGGTATACGTGAGGCGAGAGAGCGCTGCACATAAGAGGGCGCTAGACAAAAGCCTGCTGCGGGTGGGGAACATTGCAGCTACAGCAGCTAACTTTGCAAGGCTCTAGTAACCTTGCTGAGCAACTTCCATACATGGAGTGCCACAATTATGATTTTCCTATAGGGGTCTATCCTTTAGGCAAGAGGGAATCGTTTATACGCCTTTTGTTGGTGTGTCTTCATAGACGCATTCCAGGATTAGTTCTTAGGAATAGTCAGTATTGTAAGGCGCCGTGGATCTGCTTACTAATGAGGTAGTTTCGAACGACTTGAAGGCGTGTGAAAGTGGCGTCAGCGACTACGACTTATTGTCAGGGGCTCTCATAGATCTCTCATAATGCTAGCTTGCTTTGTAAATGCTTGCGGTGACCACGTATCAGCCGTCTGTTGTTCTCACCTTCTACTTTCTTTCTTCGACGTCGGTGTCCAGATTGCATTATCTTTTGTGGGTCTTTGGCTCAGATTGAACCGTTGAACGAAAAATCTTCGTTGTCAATGATTCAACTTGTTCTGTCCTTCTTATCGCATGGTGAGGGTCCGACTTGGAATTCCTAAAGGTTTCGAAGGTCGTTGCATTGGCGAAAAGGGAGATTAAATCTGAAGAACCCCGCTATCCTTCCTTGTGTTCCAAATTGACACAGGCTTGTACGTGGTATGCAAGTTCCGTGCATGATCCAAGCTCCACTTTGAAGTAGGGACCTTTCACTTGATGCAGACTATAACTAAACAAATTCGCGCTTCTGGAAACGTACCGAATAATTGCACAATATCACTATTGTATCATGGTCATATTTTTGCGCATAGGATGTTCAGCTGGCTCAACGTTTGTTGGTATGAATGCCTAATACTTCTTTATGTATGCCTCGTTCCAGCTCGCTCGCGACAAGTGCATCAGTACCACCTTCCAATTTATACCGGTCAGCTTGTGTTGCTGCAGTCAAGATCGATGCAACGTCGGTGGAAATCCCGCATACGAGTAAGTTATATTGGAAAGTGTCTACGTTAACTGGGCAGATGCTGTTGAGAAGATAACTTTGGGAATTCGGGCATCCACGAACTGAGAAGGGATTCCTGCTCAAAAACAGGAACGCGATAATTGGGGGGGCGGAGCGATGTTTGTGACGTCAATTGAGTCAGGACGGCGAAATAACCTTTGAACGAGATTCCAACCAAACTCTCCAGTGCTATTGTATAACGGGGTGTCCCGGCCCGTCGCGCGACGAAGGAGGAGAGGCAGATGCGAAGAAGGACGAGTCGCAGCGCATACTAGCGATAGCGGTTAGGCGCGTCAGGTTAAATAGAGTGTACCATACTACTCTCATATCGCACAGCACGCGCTGCGACTCGTCCTTTGCCGCATCTGCGTCTCTTCCTTCGCCGCGCGATGGGCCTCTTGGGGGACACCCAGTATAACGCGCTAACCAGGAAGGTCGTTCAGGGCGTGCCAAGCTTTTTCAAAACGGTTTTTTGCATGGTATACACGTTCTAAATAGGAATTTCTTCAGTTCGATAACTTCCGGAGGAGGAGGAAGCGGCGGATGGGGAGGCGGTGGCAGGTATGTGACAGTGTGCCATTGCAGTGAAAGATTGTCATTTGAGTTTTCGACTTAAAAACTAACTAGATTTATCAGTGCTCGCAGTGGACGTGAAACAAACCAATGAATCTAAACGGAATAGTTTTTATCAAGGGTTTCTCAAGGAAACGGACAAGCTCCCTCACTTCTTAGAATCAGGAATTATGTAAAGTGCACTGCACTTGATTACCGGGAGGCTTAGGTTTAGTATTTACTTCTCAGCCATTAAAAGTACATTCCACGATGTGGCTGACTGACACAACTCTTTTGTGAACAGGATAGACGGATTCGCAACGGAGTTAATGCCACCTTTCTAAGCTTGCGAGGGCACTGACAGTGAGACCCGAATCCAGGGTCAACCATGCGTTGCGCAGTTCTCAACGGGGGTCGCTCAAGATTTTAGAGGGTAAGGGACATATTTGAGGTCGGTGAATGTCAAAATATCGAAAAGGAGTCTTATTTTTGGAAATTGAAGTGGTCGTGGTTTCTTCAATTTCTCTTTCCTTTTTTGTCACTAATGAAGTCCTTTGCGCTGTTCTACTTTCAAATCGAAGGCAATAATCCTACTTCTTGGTCGTGGAGTGCCTTTTAAAATGAAGGCTATATGCTCTCTTCCCTCTCAAATCCGCGTTTTCCAGTGCTGAATACCACAGTAGCCACACCGCAAGCGACCGTAATCCTTCCCTTTTCCCGCTGATGATATCTTCGCATTGCGACAATGCGCCTTGTTTTCTCTTGTTGAATGTGATCATTGAATGGAATTGCTCCTGTTTGGTCTCATCTGTAGTCTCCCTTGACTTCTTCAGAGATTAAAGACGCCACTGGTGGGCGCGCAACATTACCTTGAGACCCGTTTTGGTAACGATTCTCTGCCCATACTGACGTTCCTAATAGATGATGTGACGTGATATTCAGCAGAGTCAATGAAATCTTCGGCCTACGAAAAAAGATTAGTTGAAAAGCGTGAAGAATAAGGGAACTGTAGATATTCCATGTGAACTCATTTCGGTCTTGTTTGGCATAAAGGAACCCAGTCGCTTCCGCACACAGTCCCGCAACGTCCACATCGCAGTAAATGTAGTAGGTTTTGAAGGTTCTCGCCGTGCCATCATACTATTTCATCAAAAAACTAATAAATTGCGATGGAAAACATTTTGAAATTGATTGTTTGGTTTGCTTCAGCTCTGACGGTGGAAGTAGCGGCGGCGGATGGGGAGGCGGTGGCAGGTGAGTGCGCAGTGTGATTTGGGTGTCATGAGAGTGATATTTAAGTTAAGTTAATAAGCTGAAAGCAGAACAAAATCGTTCGATGCTTACAGCGGCAACAAGGCAGACCGATACACCTCGAAAACAGTTGCTTTCACGAGCACATTATCTCCTGGGGTCCTTCGTTTCAGGACCAGAAATCGGGATCACGGCAGGAACCATGCGCGGGCAAGAAGCAGAGACACAGAGGGACATGCGTATGCACACGATGCTGGCTGCGAGTTCTTAGCGTTAGGTCGGAGTAGAATGACGATAGTACATACGTCCCATATTGCACAATCCGATTCACACAATCCGCTGATCAATCTGCGTCTCTGCCTTCTCGACGCACAACGGACCTCCTTTCGGGGTAACCTCAGAACTCTTCCGTCCACAAAAGGCAGATTTGGCTATCCCATAAGAAAAGATGCCATGAATTGATACAGCATAGAAATACGACTTCAGAGGGGGTACATTTTATCATGAATGAGAGTAATTTCCGTATATCTCCCTTAGAGCCTCCATCATATCTTTCATAGGTTGCTTTTCTTCTTTGCACCGGTACGGAAACTGTGGACAGTTCAAATGGTACGGGCGCTGCGGAAGTTCTGAGAGTGGGAAAGCACCAGGTGTTCCAAGGCTGGCGCCATTACCATCAAGTGTGGGCAGGGGGCGATGAATAACGGTCGAGGGGTCCTTGACCGTGGCTCTGTGCGGGAGTGATGCCGAGAGTGAACGCATGCGTAGAGAGCACAGAGAGCTCGCGCATGGCGAGTGTGAATGTCGGTGCGGGAGGGCGTAACTAATCAGGCGAAAATTTTCGACAAAGGTGTTGAGGAATGCTCGATCGATATTCTCCTGGTTAGAGGTTGTGCACTATCAAGCGCCGCCAGTGTTGCACCATCCACCCTGTCTGTACGTTCCGCACCAGCGTAAAGTATGAAAGCAACAGAGTAGTGCTACCTACGATCGCAACAGTGCGACCGATTGCGTGTGGATTTTTGCCCTGCCCATCTCGCGCAATATGCATTCTGACCACTAACACTTGTACAATGACACATGTAGCCAAGATGGCCGTAAGTGCGACAGTACTAATAATAATAACAACAACAACTATAACGGATGGGGAAATAATAATGATAATCAAGAGTAAGTGATTGGCAGGGGTTTGCGGAAGTTTAGTAAGGGCACGTCGATAGTCAGAAGAAGGCTTCCACAAATCGCTGCTATTGGTTGGCGTGAACTGCTATGCAACTAGCAACCTGCTTCAAAGAAAGTAGGATTCGTGATGCAAGGAAAGGAAAACATGGTACAAAAAAGCAGAACAGTAGGTTCTACAACAGCACACCATTTTCTGTAATCTCATATTCTTGCTAGAGTTTTTATGTGTGTTTTGAGTGGAGTGTACTGAGTGTCTCCACAGCAGCAGTTGTAGACCTCATTGTCATAAACTGGAGCAAAAGCTCACATGCGGATGCTACGCCATGATCTAGGATCAAACAGCATTTGAGATTCCTAGATTCTTCGAAAGCTAGGCAAAATTTACCAATACGACCCCCTTGCCCTCTGGTCGCTCCCATTCATACGATATCCTCCGTTCCCGGACTTCTCCTCTCCAACCTTTCAACACTCCTATGGCCTACGATCGATGGCGTCAATACTGACACTGAACCTGATGCTGAAGCGAGGTAAGTGGCAGTAACACCCTTCCAACCTCGCCTCAAAACTGCAAACTTCGAGAATGAGGATGCACTGGTTGTCTCCGCGGCCAGAGAAAGGCCAAGACCGCCACAAACACAGAATGACGATAGGTCTCTAAGTAACTCTGATAAGCAGAAGTTTATTGGGCGCAAGGGAGGGAGAGGGTAGCCCGTAACACAGAAATGTTAATCTTAGGACTAGTGATAAATTTCACAGGAGAAAGAGACTTCGAGGTACGTACGTTTCTCGTTCTCTCCGGGGTTTGTTCCTCTCCGTTAGGGTCACATTAGTCCTAGTGGCCTTTTTACAGACTGTCCCTCACCCCTGAAGGCACATTGCGCCGCTTACAGAGCTGATATGTATAGCTGATAGCTGATAAATGGTATTTATAATTAGTATGCCAAGACACTCGAGTCTATTCACCAAGGCAGAACAACCCTCCTTGAGGATCTCTCGACTGCTGTACACTGTGCTGAAAAAAACCCAGTCCAGGAGGGAGACTTACCTCAAATCCTTTCACCATTTTGGAAAAAATAGCGTGCGATCATGAGCCTTAATCCATCCTTGCCTCAACATACAAGCTCAAATGACTTGGCTAAAATCACCCATAGCGTTAAAACTCCATGCTATACGAAGTTATTACGCAGGTACGTTGTGATTATACTGCATGTCTAACAAAGCAATACTACGTTTCTTATGTGTGTGCAAAATATTCAGTGAAATTCAGTGAACAATCGAGCAGAAGCAACGTGGGAGGCTTGTTTGCCGAGCCAAGTCGAGGGTGTGTTGATTAGAGTCACACTGCTAGGTGCATGTAGAGCACGGATTAGTTGTTTGCAGTAATTTTTGCCAGAATAATCAGAAAAGCAAAATTGCAAGTGGATAACTACGCCATCAACACCTGTAGACCAAAAATCTAACATTCTATAATAATTCTAATTTCTCTCTGATATTTGAGCAACTTCAAAAAGTTGGTAGGTCCGAAATTTGCAATTTTGAAAGTGTAGTGATAGTGATTAACATTGGATAATTGAATTGGTCCTAATGTAGTTTTTACTGCTTCGTTTTAGAACCCCCACCACACCTCCATCGACAGGGCGCTGGGATCCCAAAGCAGATCGCGGACAAGTTCAAAGACTATGATGTTGATCATCGAGATGACAACAATAATGGTGAGGAGGTTTTATTTATTTCATTACAGTAGGTGGCGCGAGCTATGCATTCAAATTCCTCTTCCGATACATAGACACCGAATACTGTCCGTAAAATCGTCTGCTACGGTCGCCGCAGCTTATCCAGGAGTTCAGAATTGGGGAGAACCCCGCGGTTACTCAAGTGCGGTTATTGCGCTCGGAAATGGAAGTGTTAATGCACCTATACATATTGTGCCTTGAAACCCGTAGCAAAGGCACTAACAAAGGCCTAAAGGAATTTATATCAATCAACCAATGCACACCTTGAGGTTGAAGTTTGCGATTAGAAGGCGGCCCATTCGATTTAAAATATGGAGGCGCGCAGTGGTTGCGCGGGGTTGAGAAAACGTGTATGGTGATGCGGCCCAGACCCGAGAAATGAGACCTCTTCTCGTCTGTTGATTTCCACACTGGGTGCGACTCTCATTGGTGCTGCCCTCTCCATCGCTAACGCTCTCTCTGCTTAATGGGCTAGAGACATGCGGCAAGTGGAAGCCAGTCGGTGGGCGTAGCGCGCCGATAGCGCCGTAGAAAGGGCCATGTTATACCCCCGAGCATATCCTTCGCTGAGAACCGCGTGCCAGTCCCCACCCTTGAGAATCCGCCCGTCTCTCCACTAGACATTTTTCCCCTTATTCGACCTTATTTTGAATCGCTTGTAGAGGAGACGAGCCGTAAAATTTTCGAAACCGGCTGAGCACGGCGGTGACCCAGGACCCTGCTAAAAACACAGGCTCATAGCAGTAATACGAAGAGAATGGACTGGGTTGATATCACTAGCACTGCCTTTTCCGGGCCTCCCTCATTGCTCAACCTATTGTGTTACTTTATTTGGACATAAGAAATATATAAAAACGCCTACAGTTTCTTGGATATGTTGTGCTCTGCGTACCCCTGCAGTCAGCTGCTCACTCTTGTCGAGTCTGCTTCCTCGCCCCAGCACGCAGTGTCTATCTATGATGTAGACTCGTAAAATTCCACCCCTGTTTCAAAAAAAGCCCATTCATTTTCAGTGTTTTCAACGAGTTCTTCCGGTTGTTTCTTTAATTGTCTATCACCTCCATCTCAAATTACGCCAGTAAAAATTACAACTTAGTGATCGCGAAACATGCCTCAACACGTTTCGAGGCCGCTTTCATACTTTGCGCCGTGGCGGACATTGCGAGCAGTGTGGACGGTGCGCGGACAATGCGAAGAGCGTCAACTCACGCACTGACGCATGACGCGCACTGGGCGCACAGTCGGTGTCTTTTAATCGATCAGTTTCGGTTTCAATACATTCGACATTCCTGGATGATGTTCTACGGGCCGCGGTGTTTCCATTCGTGTTTTTCTAGCGCAAAATATTTTATTTTTCATGTGTAACAATGGTTTTCAGTAGCCCGGAACGGTTAATTTTTGAAATCGTTAGGTGTGCGAAAATAATAATTTGTTGAGAAAATAAAAGTTTTGCGCTATCAAGGGCACAACCGGAAGCAACGCGGTACATGGAGCTTCAAAGAATGGACAGAATATATTGAAATTGAAATTGATCATCGGAAAGCACCGACTGCGCGCCAGCATGCGTTATGCGCCATTGTGTGCGCTGACTCACTTCGCACTGTCCTAATGAAAGTAGCTAAGGTGAATCTACTGGCGTGTCTACGTTCATACATATGAAAGAAATTCTTGTAGGCTGAGGAAAGATTCAGGCGTGTCGACTGTGCGCTCTCGCCGCAACGCGCCAACACGAGAGGCGATTCGAAATCGTGGCAAGGAGTCCCTTTGGAAAGGAGATCGAGCTCAGAGGATAAAGCTGTTCTGATACTTTCTTACTTTATATTATTGCTCAAAAATAAAGATTTCTGTTTCTGTTTGTTAATGTTATCTAGAGGATTCGACGTGGAAGCGCAATCTTGACAGAAGTCCCCGTGTGTCGAATTGTTCTTCGAATGTGTTTGCGCGGGCTGTCTCATGGTGCTTGCGGGGCTTACGGCTTAGCGACGACGCCAGTCGTAAGCCGTTTGTCTCATCGCCGCATTTTTGACAAACATGACTAATATTAAGCACATTCAGATGTCACATGATTTACTTTACGAGGATTAGCATTATTGGGTTCCCTCATAAAGTTACCACCAATATCCCAGCGAAGAGGGCGGAAGTTGTGTCGTGGCAAGTGGCACACAATTACCACGCAAGCAGTCCGGGGATCAAATCCTGGGTCTGCTGAGCAGTCGCAGAAAGCCAGCCTTTCCATCCTTTCGGGTAGCGGCCCCCGCAAGTCATTGTATAGGCCACATCGCATTCAAATGCCACTACGAATGTACAAATGGAAGTGGAATGCGTGCCGCATCCCAAAAGGGATTGATCAACGGCAAATGCTTTATCCTTTATTCCTTTATCCCAGCTGAAAATGTAAAGTTACAGATGAGAAGCGGTAAAAACTATTGAAATCTAAAAGATCAGTGCTTTATAAAGTGTAAGCTAAATTCTCCTGAAAAGCTCTGAAATGAAAACTTCGTTCTGCCTGAATTCTCGACTTTAGGACTCAAGAAATCAATCCGCCAAATTCGTTGCGCTTTCTTCCATTTTTGGTCAGGAAGCTCTGAAAGAACCTATTCGCTCGAGCTCGCTAGGAGCATTAGGTAATTTAGTAAGAACTTCTGCTCTGGGATGAGCCACTCAATCGTCTGTGACGAGTTTTAGTGATAGGTAAAAGTCTGTCCTTATTTGCCACTTTGACCAACGCGGTGGATATTATCGTGTGCAGCATCAAGGGTATGCTTGGCGAGACGTGAGGTGGAATCAGAGGACGTAAGCAGCTTGTTACTGAAGCAGCGGATGTACAACGAGTTAAAGTCGCTACAGAGCCTGCAGGAGGTCGGATGAATCAGAAGGCGTATGCAAAGGGCAGCGGAAATTGGGCGTCTTAGACGAGAAGCTGAGGGACGCCAACAATACGGGCGAATATTAGTCCACTGCCACTGGCTAGCCCTTCAGCAACCTTTCACCCAAAGAGTGAACGCGAAGAGAATCTGCATCAGCAGTGCGCACCACCTCTGTGAGGAGCAGCAAAGGCCAGCCGAAGTCAAGGGGAGGTGGGAAGAGCACTACGGTCCCTTTCTGATCGAGTTTTCCTGTCAATGTTTAGAAATGGATTCATTATAAAAGTGGAGGCATCTTTCCGTTCAAAACCACGGACCTGCCATGCATTTAAAGAAGGGATTCTCGATAAGATCGATGGTCAAAGAAGGGGAGGGAAAATTGCATAGCTGGGAGACAGGCGACACCTCTGAGGGTGCTTGGCAGCGAAAGATTTGACCTCGGCGATCTAGCATGGCTCACTCTTGGCGCGGTTGGCGGGGTACGCCCACCGACTATCTGATCACTCGCCGGTCTATACGTGGCGAGTGATTAGATAGCAGAGAGAGCGTAGTGTTGAAGAGGGCACAGCGATGAGAGTCGCATCAATGCGCAAATCCCTTTTCTCGGGTTCTGGCCGTTTCAAATGGTTTCTTCTTCATCCCTGCTCCACTGACCACTCTACCCTTATTTCCGTGCGCTAACTTCTCATCTTCCTCTAAATTCTGCCTCTAGGAATGGACTTAGTTTCAAATATTGTGATTAGTGAAGATTATCCAACAAGTTCAATTGGAACAAGGAAGGGCAAATAGACTTTTCATAGTTCCATTTACGTCTACTACTGAGGAACATTTTTTCTGAGGTCCCTTTCACTCAATACCACTGTTAATGACGGAAGCAACGGAACAGTTTGTTCATGTCACTGGCATAAGCCAAGTGAACTAGGTAGTAAAATCTATGAATTCCGTAGCGTCAGATGTCTCACCAGGCTAACCTTTGCTGTCGCTTGCTTATACCGTCTACTACGTCTACTGCATTGAAAATATGCTGATACTGATGTCTGAGAGCACAATGTGTTGAAAATGGTTTTATAGAAAACACTACAGTCGACTGACTCAAAGTACTATTGAGCAAAGAACGCTCAGTATCCTGGCGCAGTGCGAGGAGGTGGGCAGTGGTCGCAGGCTCCTGGTGCTCCGGTATCACCGTCATCACCATCATTTCCGTTACCTCCTGGATTTCCTGGAGCACCTGGTTGTCCGTTGTCTCCAGGCTGTCCTGGACCACCATCTTGTCCTGGATTTCCAGCACTTCCTGGTTGACCATCGGGTCCAGGAGGTCCTTGGGGTCCAGGTGGTCCGGGTGGTCCTTGTGAGCCGGGAACAGTGGTTGAGAGTTCCTGGGGCTCCTGGAGCTCCTGGGTTTCCGGGCTGTCCATTGCCTCCAGGTGGTCCTGGTGGTCCAGGAGGGACCTGCACCTCCTGGGTTTCCAGCGACCTCCGGGCTGTCCGTCAGATCCAGGATTTCCTGGTGTTCCTCTGCCTCCTGGGTTTCCAGCTGGACCGGGAGGACCAGCTGGGCAGTTGAAGCATGGGGTGACATCAGGAGCTGGAGTTGCTGGTGGTCCATCAGGTCCATCTCGTCCAGGTTGTCCAGGCTCACCATCTGATCCGGGTTGTCCGTCCTGTCCAGGTGGTCCGGGTGGTCCAGCTGGAGAGACACCACATCCGCAGCATCCACCTCCGGCCTGACGAGCTTTCCTGGTTGATCCAGCGAGAACCTAAACTTGCGGAATTACTGAAGTCGATAGAAACATCAAAAAATAGAGTATTGAGAGCTTACCTGAGTGCGAGTGACTTCTCTCCAGATGTTTCCGGAGCGGGATTTGCAGAAGTCGACCTTCGTTCTGCATGACGGACTGCATGTGCTGCATGTAGTTGTAGAGCATTGGCACCGAGATCACACAGACGAGGGTGGCCACGGTGGAAAGGGCCACGCCAAAGAAAGGCGACTCTCCTGAGGGAGAGTGCCTCGGATTCCCAGTGTTTCACGTCGCCGGTCATGCTTGTGATTATGGCCAACGCTGCCGTTTTTATACGATTTTTTTCGCGCTCCACGTCCAAGTCTCTAAATGGAGACCGTATTTATCACATTACTGCATTTTCGGCTTATGAAATTCGATTCTCTTGATTTGCCTTTCTGAAGGCCACCAACAATATACATATAATGCGATCCGTGACGTAATCGTTCTCGTCGTTAATGCGGTTTCACTAGGTAGTGAAACTCATTGGAAAATTCGGCACAATGGCAAGATAGCAAGGCATACTCTAGGACCAAGCCTAGGAGGAGCAAGGACTTAGGAAAACAAAAATCACGCATTCACCTTCGAGTCTCTCCTTCCCTTCCTTAGGCCTGGTCCTTTTTTTATAAAAAGAAGATGTTTATGTGTCTTTGAATTCATTGCCACGAAAATGTCCCCGTTTGCACCGATGAGGATCTCCTTCCAATTTTGTCCCCCTGGAGA